TTAGTAGAGACGGGGTTTCACCTTGTTGACCAGGATGGTCTCGATCTCTTGACCTCGTGATCCACCCGCCTAGGCCTCCCAAAGTGCTGGGATTACAGGTGTGAGCCACCGCGCCCGGCCTGATTTTCTTGTTTTCTACATTCGTTTATAAATCTCCAGAAACAGAATAATAGAGATGGATGAGGGCATGTCTGGGGGAGCTTCATGGTACAGCCTTTCACACTTTTGGGCTGAGGGTTGGTTGCTTCAGTGCCTTTATGTTTGCTTCAGGGAAGCATCTGGAACAGATGCTTTTCATGAAATGTGGTCGAGTCAGCTCCGTTGGTCTGGGGCGCCATGCCCTGTGCAGGTCTTCATCTAGTTCATTCTTCCTCAGCATGTGTGGCAGTACGAACTTGAGACTGTAATCCAAGAGAGATGAATACTATGGATAGGTTCACAGTGAATGATAAATATTTACGGATCTGGCTGTGTTGTTCATCCCTATATCCCAGCACTTTGGGAGGGTGAGGTGGGTGGATCACCTGATGTCAGGAGTTCAAGACCAGCCTGGTCAGCATGGCAAAACCCCAAAAAATACAAAAATTAGCCAGGTGTGGTGGGGGATGCCTGTAGTCACAGCTATATGGGGGCACTGAGGCAGGAGAATCACTTGAACCGGAGAGGTAGAGGTTGCAGTGAGCTGAGGTGGTGCTGCTGCACTCCAGCCTACGGGACAGAGCGAGACTGTCTCACAAAGAAAAACAGAAAAAAAAAAAAAAAAAATCACAGATCTTGTACCTCTTACACCTTTAAAAGGTTACATTTAATATATGAGTTAGGAAAAAACTTCTCTGCGCTTTAGCACCTGTCTGCTAATTTCTACTTTTTAGAGAGGAGATTTTGGAAAAGCTGCTGCCCAGTGAATGCAGGTGAGGGAGCAGTTCTAAGGCTTTGGAAAAGCTGCTACGCAGCGAGTGAGGTGAGAGTGCCGTTGTAAGGGCTCTGACCTCGACCTTCAGTGCAGGAGGAGCAGATGCTGCCCGCGCTCCTCTTGGTGCACCCTTTGAGCTTCGCGTCCTATTTCTTCTTTCACGGCCGATCCAGGTCCAGTTACAGAAGTGGATTCGCGGTAATGTGAGTGCATGTGCGAACTCTCTTTTCATATTTGACGAGATGGATAAATTGCACCCTGGGATCATTGACGCAATCAAGCCGTTTCTAGACTACTACGAGCAGGTTGACGGAGTGTCTTACCGCAAAGCCATCTTCATCTTCCTCAGGTCAGCGGGAGGTGGTTTCTTGGGGAACACAAGCACCTCATTCTCTCAGTGATAAAATGAGGTCCTCAGCACCATCAGCACTTTATTTGCCAGGACAGAAGTGCCTGCTGGGCACAAGGCACTTACCTACTGCTTTCCTTCTTCTTTGCTAGTCTCAGCATGGCACACAGTGTGGGCAGGGGAAATGAACTAAAGAAATAATCACTGATAGCAGGCAATTTTAGCCAGGAATGGTGGCATGGGCCTGTAGTCCCAGCTCCTTGGGAAGTTGAGGCAGGAGGATTGGTTGAGCCCAGGAGTTCCAAGTTTGATTGAGCTGTGATCATGCCACTGCATTCCAGCCTGGGGGACACATCAAGACCCCAACTTTAAAAATGAAATCAAAATGAAAACAGGTAATTTTATTAACTGTACATGTTGGTTTATAGGGTTATAAAGGCCTTATCCCAGCTAGTTGTGAAGAAACATGTTAAGTTCCTTGAGATTAGGCACTTTTTTGTATAGTAGCACTCAGTAAGTATTCCTTGATGAAAAATAGATCTTCAGCCAGGCATGGTGGCTCACGCCTGTGATTCCAGCACTTTGGGAGGCTAAGGTGGGCAGATCACTTGAGGTCAGGAGTTCGAGACAGGCCTGGCCCACATGGTGAAACCCCGTCTCTAATAAAAGTACAAAAATTAGCTGGGCATGGTGGCACGCACCTGTAGTCCCAGCTACGCAGGGGGCTAAGGCAGAAGAATCGCTTGAATCCAGGAGGTGGAGGTTGCAGTGAGCCGAGAGTGCATCACTGCACTCCAGCCTGGGTGACAGAGTGAGAAGACTCCATCTCA